TTCAGTTCCACAAACATATATATTATATAAAAAATGTTTTCTTTTATTAGTTACATTATCTTTGCCTGTCAGGTTCATTGCATGTTGTATTGATTTATATATTATAAAAGTGTGTCTGTCCTTCCAGCATTCATTATTTTGTACTGTCATGTCCTCACCCTATTTGTCTCCTTTCCACAGTTTTGCCTTGCTGCTAATCATTCTTGTCACTAGCTCTGAACTCCCTTTTATTTTTGCTGTATCCCATTTTATTTTCTAGACCATTTCAGCTTAAATGTTATAGTATTAATTTGTAAAGAGTGCTATGCTAGTATATGTGGGGGAGGTAAACAATGCAAAACTCACCATTCCTAACTTTGTCTTCTCTACGTACAAAACTCTTCAGTGTTACATGTATTTTCTAGTCTCGTGCCTATAAAATTCAGCATCTCTCTTTCTTTTTTCTTTTCATAGGTTTTCAATTCAAGTCTCTTAAAAGTCAAAGAGAGGCACATGTTTCTTACATTCTTGGGAAGAGCCCAGTATGACCCAAGACAGCCCAGCTACATCTCTCTAGATAAACTAGTATCTGTGCCCAATGAGGTGTTTTGTACAGAGATTGCCAAAGCCTCAGTACAGGATTTCATGAAATTCTTAAAAACACTTTAATTAGTAACACATGTAAAAATGACTAGAATCATGTTGTAAAATAAATTTGTTTTGGAAAAAAAAATTGCTCCCTTTTTCAGTCTCTTGGCTGTTCACTTACTGTTTTAAAAGTTATTGCTTATCAAATAACTACAGTGCATAAGAAAAAAGACTTAACTCCAGACTGAAGTGGAAACGGGCTTAAGCGCATTCAGTAAGTTATTGATGTAAATCTTGTAATGAAATCATAACGTATCTATGATGGATGAAGCAGTCAACTGAGAACATAGAAACTTATAAAGCAGCAGTTACCATGGTGTTATTCATGGACTGCACCATACTGTTGTTCATGGGTGCCCCGGGCACCTCCAACCTTGTCAATTTGAAGTTTGATGAGAAAGCATAGTCACATACAAGAAATGTTGAGGACTGATAGGCCAGAAAGGTGGGAATCATTTTGTAAAGCATGATAAAATGGAGTCTCTTCTATTCCTCTTTCCTCACAACAACATATTTCAATAGACTGTGAGATGAAAAACTTGATTTGTCTGGAAAAACACAGCTGTACCTTTTGGAACAAGACTGAAAACTCAGACTGCAAGATCTGGAGAACCAATCAGTGAACAGACATGACTCCCACTAAAGGGTTTTTCAACATCTTATAAAATCAGCTGACCAGATACAAAATGCTGTTAGGTGCACAAAGTTAATTGAAAAGAAGAGTAGCATATTTTCCTAATCTTCAATTATAGTGATGTTGGATATTATAATACCAATAGGCAAAATTCAGATAGTCAGTTAAATTGACTGCACTCAGTTAACTCAGAATTAGGAACACTTCATTATCTGCTACAAAGACAAGTTGAATGAAGGGTATTAAGGCTGAAGAGTATGAAGTCTCTTATCCCCACTTACGTTCTATCCCTCTTCTGTTCCATCTCCACCACCCTCTCTTCCCCAAAAATGTGAAAATAAAGTTGGAAAAGCAAGCACTTCTAGTCACATGTAATGGAATAACACTGAAGAAATTTGTCAGAGGAATGTAAATTGTAGTGGTCTGTCTGTAGACTATTAACGTGATATTTGTGAAATTCATCTTGAATAAAAATTATTTTTAAATGAGACAGACAGAAGGTACGGCAGAGTGCCATCTTACAAAGACAGTGTTAATGAAATAGGAGGTCATCGTAAACATAAATATTTCCATGCTGTCTTGACTGTTGGTGTGCTCTTACATGGCCATCAGTTGATAACAAATATTTCTACCTGATAATGGTGAAAAGGCACTGGCCAGGAGGGATCCCCCACCTCCCACTAGAAACACCCATCTTCCTTCCATCCCCTTTGGCCACATGGCAGAAAGAATATGAAATATTTTGTTGAATTGGACTGTCTGACAGAAGGACCTAACACAGTATAGCCAACAAGCTTTCTGGGCTACTTATACTCTTCTAAATGGCTTTGTGTGGGGGGGGGTGTTGCCCCTCTTGTTAACTGTTATATACAAAGCATCAGTCTTGACCAGTGTTAATGCAGTACAACTCAGGTTAAGGGGCTTATACTGGGCTTTAACCCTATAAAGCAAAGAAATTTGAAATTAGGATTTATAAATTTAGGATGGCCAACAAAATCTAAGATGTTGTATCTGATTAACACTGATGCTTTTTATGGGTTCTACGCTTAAGCAAAGAGTGCAGTTTCTTGGTTTTCTGGATTTAAAGCCCTGTCCTTTGATAATTTTAACTATTGTCATTGTGAGACTTGTTTCTATGTTTGTTTACATTGTGTATATATGCTAGTCCAGTCATTTTAAGTTTAAAGGTTGTCTTGTTACATTGATTAAAAACATTTTATTTTCTTCCACTTCATTTTCACTTCATGTGTTTAACCCCAATGACAATCCCTGTCCAAATTAAACCCATTTACCTAAAATTTGGAATATGTAATCTTATGCCAAGACATCCCAGAAATACCTTAAAAATATTCTGAAGCAAGCTATACAAAGGACCTGTGAGTGGTACTCACCAAATTAATTTTGCTTCTGTGAAATCTTAAAGTAGTCTCTTCTTCTTTAAATCTAAAATCTTAGAAATGGTTTGGCTGAGGTTAGACAAGCCTCCTTTTATCTGTTGGTCTTGGTGAGGGTAATTTTGGAAATTTTGGAGAACTGGGGCAGGGAGGGAGCAGAGATGTTATAAACAGGCACTTTAGAACTAGGGACTATAAATAACAATAAGGACTTGAGCAATGTACATGCTTAGTGTCATGGACACACTTTAGAAATCTTGCACCTGGCTGCTGTGGAGTTTCAAAGGTGCATACAAGCCACTGCATGGACTTCAAAAGGCTGCGTGTCTCAAGAACACCTTTTCTCTACCTGCAAAGAGAAAAAATGTAGATGGGTGATTCCTGCAGTAAGGTAATCTAAGTAAAGGATAGTGGAGGGGTACCAGTATCTTGGAAACTGGCTTGTACCATTGCTCCCCTGCTGCCATATTTCTATGGGAAGCCCCATGGGCTGGATCTGGCTAATAGGCTAGAGGTTGAGCACCCCATTGCAGAATGTCACTGACAATCTCAGATAAAGATTTGTCTCCGACTGCAGGATGTATGAAGCTGGAAACTTAGGGGCTGAAAGCCACAGCTATTCCCCCTAGGAAACTACTTTTCAGGAGTGTTGCAAGTGGTCCAACTAGCTCATGTCTGCTACTTGGTTGAAACTCCAAGCACCAGCTTTGCTGCCATCCCTCCCTAACGGCACGATTGAGGCCTGATCCCCTAGCCCACAAGGGCGCCTGCTCCATGCTTGTGTGGCAGGGCAGGAGCCCCAGGGCTTGCGGATCAGACCCCAGCAGTGTTGCCAGGTCTTAAATATGAAATCATATTGGAGGCTCAAAATTATTGTATCTGCTGAAAAGCTATCATACACTGAAAAATTACACAAATAAGCCTTAGGGATGTATTTAGTAGCTGCGTTGGTCTGAGACAAGAAATGCAAAAATCTAAAACTCTTGGTTGAGAGATGATACCTTTTGGTATCATGCTGGAGCATTTCTTTATTTCGAGGCAAGCAAGCAGTCATCTGAATGCTGACAGCAAACCCAGGAGTCAGTTAAGATTGAGAATGACTTGGGCTTTGCATATCCTGCATCAATGAGCTGCTTCAAAAAATATCGCACATTTGGTCACTATTATTGATCGTACATGCTACAAGGGTTGAACTAATGGGACAAATACGAGAGTTATCGTACACCTGGCAACACGGGACCCCAGCGCCTTCCTCTGAATGTCACGGCCCGCACGGAGGCAGCAGCCGGGCTTCCCCGGGCCCCGCACTGCGCATGTCACGACCCCCTCCCCCCAGCCCTGCGGGAACACAACCGCTATGGGCGGGACAAGCCCCGCCCCCTGAGGCTGCGGACCCTGCTCACGGCGCATGCGCAGACGCCAGCCACCTGACCGCGCCGTCCGTAAACCAGTGCGGACATTCTTAGTGTACCCAGCAGGCACCGCGCCTCACTGAAGTCAAGATGGCGGCAAGGGCACCGGGTGAGGCGAAGCGGGGGATATGGCGCCGTGCCCTTCCCCGCTGTTGCAGTGGCGCGCGGGGTGCCGGTCCGCGGCCGGGCTGGGAGCGGCCCTGGGAGCGGGGGTCGTGTGGGGCCTCTCGGCGGCGGGCCCGGTCCGGGGGTTCCTTCGCGGGGCCTGGGTGCGACGTGTGGCCTCGTTTTCACGCCGGCTCCTTATTGGCTGCTGCTCCTGGGAGCTACGGGCCGAGAGCGGGGCCAGGGTGCTGCGCTGAAGGGCAGGAAGCAGCGGCTCCCAGGGCCGAGGTGTAGTTGCGTGTGACTGTGCCTCTTTCTCTCCTTTAACTCCTATTATGTGGCTGCCTGGCTTAGCGCTGGGTTATGTTTGTTTAAGAGCCAGGCCTGTTTGGCGTCCTTTAGGTGCATCCATATAACCTCTTAGGCTGCCTCAGGTGGGAAGGCTACAGAAAAGGATGCTAATTAATTTCTTGGGACAAAAAAAAGGTTGGGAGTGATGGTCAGCGGTTGAAAATAAGAGTGCTGTCTGCTCTGTTCCAAGTGCTAGGTGGTTTAGGGATTATGGTAGCGAGGTGCAGGTGTTATAGAGTTGTAAAACATGCAGGTTGGAAGGGACCTCAGGAGGTCACCTGGTCCAGCCCCTTGCCCAAAGCAGGACCAGTCCCAACTACGTCATCCCAGCCAGGGCTTTGTCTGCCTGGGGTTTAAAAACCTCCGATGGAGATTCCACCACCTCTCTGGGTAACATGTTCCAGTGTTTTACTACTCTCCTAGTGAGAAAGTTCTTCCTAATATCTAACCTATATTTCTCTTGCTGCAACTTGAGATGGTTGCTCTGTCAAGTGCCACCACTTTCTGTAATAACACCTTGGGAGGTTCCAGTCAAGTGCTACAGGGTAGGTGCAGCAGTCTCCATCCAGCAGCTTAGAAGGGGGAGGTGGGGAGCCTGGTCCTGCAGGAGGAAGAAGGGGGTTTGGCTGAGTCAGCAGGGGAAGGAGTCTCAGCCTGTCTTGCCTGACTGTACAGGGCATAAGGTTTGGGAATTTGGCAGGGGGAGGGTTGCTGTAGTAATGGCCACTGCTACCCAGCTGCCAAATTTCCTGTCCCATGGAGAGCCCTGTGGGCCGGATGGGATCGCATTATGGGTTGCATTTGGCCCCTGGGTTGGAGGTTGAGTATTTCTATTCTAGAAAATCATGCTGTTAAGAGAATACTTGTATTTGCATTGCTGTTCTGTTCCTGCTGGAAGTAGAATTCATGAACTTTTCCTGGTGTATTGTATTTCACAACACTCAGTATTTGTATCTTCAGTAGGATTTCCTTACAGCAAATCTCAGGCAGGGCTTTTTTTTCCTTTTCTTGCTTCTCTTTTATGTAGATACCTCTTATCCTTTAGAGAAGTTCTAAAAATCTAACTTAATTAAATTGTATTGTAATATTGCTCTCAAATGATGACAAGCTTGTCAGTAAGTTGCATAATTTTTACCAGCCCGTGTTGCAAGTGTTTTTTTCAGTTTTAAGTCTTCAGAGAGTCTTTCTAGTTGTAATGCTATAGAAGTCTTTGTGTTGGCAGGCAGGTGGGTACTAGGACCTAGCTGCCACTACTGCTTCTCCTGGTGGTGGCTTGGGGAGACCAACAGCTGCCAAAACCCTACCTATATCCATGGACCAAATCAGATGGTACTGTGAACCAGACTTGCCCCACAGGCTATAGGTTGTCCCACTACCCTATGTCTAGTACTTGAAGATCCTGTTTGGTTATACATATGTCAAAATGATGAAATGCTATAATATTGTGCTTAGCATAATGTTAAAAAACATGCAAGAACAGGGAGAAGCCAAGTTGGACATGATGTAATTTAAATTTATAGTATAATACATAGCAAATATAATATTATCTAATATTTATTTCTTGTCAATATGTACCAGTGTTAAGCTTTAGTTTACCTTTAGACTAACAGTGATCTCTTTCAGCTTCAAGTGGTCGGCTGATGCAAGCTTTTTACAAGTGGTATTACAACTTATGTGGATTCAACAAAATGGGTAGGTGTATTAATTATGGGTTATACATTGCCAGTTAAACAGCCTAGCAGATGCAAAGAATCTTTTAGCTGTTTAATTGCATGTCCAGGTGTATTGAAATCAAGGTAGAGCTTTCTTATAAAAGTTAGCCATGCCTCTCTTATTGTAAAAAATAATGTTCACAATGGGTAGAGTGCTGATAATTGTTAATCTAGTGATGAATCAGGTGCATTTTTCTCTAAGATGTTATGATAGCTAGTAAAAGTTCTTTCTGTAGACCCAGAGAGCCCAAGTATAAACTGATGGGAACTGGAGCTTCACAAAAGGAATTCTGAACATGGAACAAGCATTTAATCTTCACTCTCTCAGATTTCACTGCAAAATCCACCTTTTCAGTTTGATCTGACTGTGATTTCAAGTTAGTGTGTGACAGATCCTGGTGGTTTGGATCAGGTTACAATATGACTTCCTAAAAGACCAATCAGCAGAATCTGGAAACATGCCTGGAAATAAAATCTGAAGTCAGTGATTAAAACAAAGTCAATAGGAAAACCTGCTGCTCCTCACTGCATCCATTCTTTTCACTTTTGCTCAGTGCCTAATTATAGTAATAAAACTTAAAAAAAAAACAAAAACCCCAAAACTTCTTTTTTTTTTTTTATGCTAATGATACGCTTTTTCAAGTGCTTATGAGGAACTGGTAATTCTAGAGCTGTCTACAAGAGTAATAATAGGAACATTTTCTTGCATTGGTTCCATGTTGTGTCAAATGATCCTTGCTCCATTTGATCAGATTTTATTATTTGATTTGTATATTTTCTTTTGACAGAGGCACCTGGGAAATAGGATAGTTGTTTTTCTGTACCTACAGTAAACTCAGGTTAATGTTGCACTGCAAAGGGAATGCAAATAATGTGGGATAGTCTACTAGGGACCAGTTATCAGGAGCACGAGTGCTGATCCTGGGAGCAGGAATGCTGATAGGGAACTAGAAAAATAGAAAATAAATCAATAATGGTAGATTAACCAGACCTTGCTTGTAAACTGAGATGAATAAAATTAGATTTTTTTTTTTTTCAGACTTTCATTGAAGCAAATGAAATTCCCATTGTTTTGGCTTAAGCGTTCTTCATTTTGATTTCTATAATACAGCATACCATAGATACTGGGTAACAGGGTTCCAAATGATGAAGAATGAAATGCGGTTTTCACTAGGACTAAAATAATTACATAGCAAGAAAAAAATGTCACTTTTAATCTTTTGATCTCTCTGAAGTCCCCTTGTAAATCCATCCACACCTTGAATACTGTGCCCAGTTCTGGTCCCTGAACTTGAAAAAGGATATTGAAGAACCAGAGAAGGTACAAGGAAGGGCACCAAGGATGGTCAGTGATATAGAGGGGCTTCCATATGAGGGGAGGCTAAAGAGGCTAGATCTATTCTATTTAGAAAAGAAATATGTGAGGTGGGACATGATCAGAATTTAGAAAATGGCAAAGGCAAAGTAAATAAGAATTTTCTTACTTGCCCTCTCTCACAAGAAGTAAGGGGTCACAAAATGAAACTAGTCAGCTGTAAGTTTTAAACTAACAAAAGGAAGTTCTTTTTCATACAGTATGTAATTCAAGTGTGGAACTCATTGCCACCGGATATGGAAGCTGACAGTTGAGCTACATTCAAAGAGGAATTGGACACGTTCTTGGAGGAAAAAGGCATCAGTAGCTATTGAGTATGGGAATTAGAACTCTGAATCAGAACTTCCTAGACCTTAAATGCTGGAGGCTGCAAGTGAGAGAGAAACAGTGTAAAAAAACCCTGGTCATACCCAGCTCACTTTCCCTTTTGGCATCCACTCTCATGGGATACTGGGCAAGATGGACCTGTGGTCTGACCCAGTAATTGGCAACTCATGTTCTTAAGTAGCATAATGTTACATGAGGAAGGATTTTGGGATTTTATTTCCTAATGGATTTTAAAATGTCCCAATAATGAAAGACATTTCCTCATTCCCCCTTCACCCTCACTCCCCAATCCCTGTTTCTATTTATTTTTCTGGAAATTGAGCTGTGCAATTCATATGTAGATGGAGATCAGTGTTTATAAGCTGTTCTATAAACAAATAATTGGCCTTTGTCCTGGAATAGTTACAGAGAAACCAAATTATATTGAATAAGTGTTTGAACAGTGTCATGAAAATACAAAGTTTACTGCTAGACAGTGATGCTATTGTAAAATTTTACTGTTACAGGATTAATGGCGGATGACACATTATATGAAGATGAAGATGTGAAATTAGCAGTGAAGAGGCTTCCACCAGAGCTATACCATGAACGAATGTTTCGCATCAAGAGAGCTCTCGACTTGAGTATGAAACATCGAATTCTTCCTAAAGAACAGTGGACGAAATATGAAGAGGTACATGATATTAGAGACAAGTTACTGCCAATATCTTAAGTATGTTTTATATTGGCCACTCTGTTGTCATCATGAAAGTGTTTATGTCATTTAACTTGCTTACTGCTACGTACTTACTAGCAAATGAGAGTGACGTATTAGCAAATGGGACATGGACAATTAGATCTGCAGTTCTTGGGGGAGAGGGGACATTCCCTGCATATGTGCTTACCTTAAAATATATTGTTCTTAGTATAAGTTGATCCTGTATATAAGTCACTCCCACATTTTCAGTTTCACAATTAGGAAAACCATTTATCTCTCTCCCCCCCAAGTACAAGTAGGTGATCACAGACATTTCTTCAACTACTGTTGCTATTGCAGCATCCCACAGGAGAATTAAACAACAAAAGGAAGGACACAAGGATTAAAAACAGTAAAAATAGTGAACTAAAGCTTCCTCTATGTCAGAAAATTTTGTCTGAGGCTCACCATATTGCGTTCAACAGAAAATTTCATGTTGGTATGGATCAAAACAAATAATTTTAGCTAAATAAAAATTGTTCATAGCTTTAAACAAAGACAGGTTCTTATTAAAAGATTAGACTTGAAGCAGTTCTGAAGTAAAATGTCATGTCATGCAGAATTAAACCCTAGAGCCAGAGAGCCCTGTTCTTAAGTAGTCAAAAACCAAATTTTCATATTCTTGATGGTTTGGGGAAGAAGAAAATGGATGGTTAGCTGCTATGTACCACCATCTCATGTAGTTATCGGATTTTACCTCCCCAAAATTGAGAGTAAAGTATAGGCAATTCATTTGTAGGGTTGGGGGGGGGGGGGGGGGGGGGGGCGTTGCAGAAAAAAAGTGTTTTTTTGGAACAATGAATTGTATTGTCTCTTGGACATTATTTTTAGTTTAATGAGGGGGAAATTGCCAGGATCATTACTCTTTTCCAAATATTAAGTACACAGGTCACTGTTACAAAACCCTGTTGTCATTAGCTATCCTTCAGAAGTGCATCTAACTTTGCATGGTTTCTTAGCTCTGTAGTAGAGCATGTGGCAGATCACCACTTCTTATCTCAGAGCAGTGGTCTCGAGGCTTCTCAGCTTCCTGCTCTTTGCAGTAGAGCCAGACTCCTGGAAGCCTCCACTTGACCCAGGGTTCTTGAGACTTCTGAGCTCCTAGCTTCTTGATTTAAAGGATTAATGCCTGCCTCCCTCTCAAATGCAGCAGACCAAGGAAGCTATCTGGAACTGCAGGGTGGTGCTGATATTGGATCACTACCATTGTGGTGCTTTGTTTTGAGCTGAGTTTGCTACCACCATGACAGGAATGACCTTGCATGGCACCCTTAAGGGTCATCTAGTATGAGTAGGGTTCTACCGATCTTGAGGAGGCAGCCAGCTGATTTTGCAGGCATACTGTGGCTGGCCATCATTTTCATGGGCTAAACGTGTGAGGGGGGCATGCTTCTGATTGGCTAAGGAGCCTGGCAGTCCCTCCCCTTCCTGCAGATTGCCAGATGGCCTGAAACCACATCTTAATTACCCTGATTAATCCCGGGGAAGTCATTAATCCATGCGTTAAGTAAAATTGTGGTAACTAAGCCACTGTTTCAGGCCGTTCCCAAGCAGTAAGCTCCACACTTTTTGTGGCTTTGCTGCAAATAAACAAACAAACTTACAGGCAAGGAGAAAAGCACATGGGAAGCCCTTGCGCATTGTTTTGTTTGTTTGTTTTGCAGTGAGCCCACCATAAGTGTGGAGTCCAGCCAAAATCAGTTTCTGCAAGAATCGCGCAGTTGTAACTTTGTTAGGAGTCTACCAGCATAATGATGGTAGAGCAGGTGATCTATGCAGTGCTCCCGTTTGCAGCACCCTTAAGACCAGCTAGTACAGCTTTTAGTGCTGCACAGTTTTGTGTGTTTTGTACAGCAGTGCCATGTTTCTTTAGGCTAAAGATTGACCCTGTGTAAATCAAGCGTGACAATTGTGACTTGATTTAATTTTCCTTTTCTTTAATGGGTTGAGGCTTTTGTTGGAGAGAGAAAAGAGGTTGACTTAATGGACCAATTTGATAAATATGCACTGTTCCATTGAAGTCTGTGGATCACGCAAAGTAAAATTGAACATGTACAAAGTGCAAGAGAGAGTGGAACTTAACATAGCAGGAACTTGGAATGTCTTTCAGATTTACAGTGTGTTTAATAAAGAATGCATGTCTTTAGAACACTGAGCAAAACTAATCCTGTATCTCATTAATAGAATGGGTGTGTGTGAACCAGCTGCAGAAAAGTAAGGTAGGGTTTGACCTTAGTATGCCCCTACTCTTCAGTAATTGACTATAGGTAGGATGTAGTTTACCTCTCTTACATTGAGAGAAGCAACCTTGCATTTGGTGAGGGGTAGCAACGTGCATAGGGACAGTTATTGTTGAATAGCTGATATGCTAGAAGTTCATGCCTTGGCTTACCTTGTAGTAACTTTTTTTTTTGTGTACCCCAACCTGAGGGTCACTTCCTAATAACTTATAGTTTTTTTTTAAACTCTCAAATAAGGCAGTTACTCGTGTAACTTCATTGACCTTGCAGTCTTGTAGTAAACTTCCTTGTTATGATTTATGGCACTTACAAGTATCAAACATTTACTTATGGGTAACTACATTGAAATTATCCATCTAAATATAATTGCTGACTAATTAATATGACACATCCAACTACTTTACAGTAAATGCTTTATTGCAAATTCTATTCATTTTAAAGTTTGGAAGTGCATCTGTAGTTGCTGTTTAACTTTCAGTTCTGGTTCCTTGTGGATTTATGCGTTGCTTTCTTTGCAGGTCCATAATCCTATTCACTTAATATATGGTATTAATGAGGGCTGTGCAAAACAGCAGCATTCCACTTCAACTTCAGTTTTGACAGAACAGTGTTTCATTTCAAAAGTACTGCTCCATTCCATTACATCGAAACGGTTTTGCTGTTTCAACATTTTGCCCGTAGGCTATAATGGGGAAGCACAAAACAGGCTGTAACTTAGTCATTTCTTTCCTGATTCCAATGAAACTTGCAGGGATGGTAGCCCCTTCTGAGGGCATGAAGCCTGCCAGGTTTCAAGGACATAGGTGCAGGGTTTTCTGGAAAGCTGCACCTCAAAATGCTGACAAACGGGAGCCGGGGAGCAGGAGCAGCGTCCTGTGATCCGGCAGGCAGATTGGGGGCCCGCACCCCTGGGAGGAGTCCAGCAGAGCCCCCGCAGCCCTCCTGGGGGGGCAGGCAGGCCCCTGATCTGCCTGCCGGATGACAGGAGGCTGCTTCTGCTGCCTGGGACCCAGTGCTGACAAACTGAGCCCAGCTAGGGAAAGCGCCTCCTGCCGCCAGGCTCAGTTCCCAGCAGTTCACAACACTGGGAAACTCAACCCAACAGGGGAAGGCGCCTCGCCCAGCTGAGCTGAGTTCCCCAGCCCTGGGGACAGAGCCTGGCTGGGGGAGGCGCCTCCCCCTGCCAGGCTCAGCTCTCAGCAACTTGCAGTCCAGTGGAGCTCAGCCCGGTGGCGGGAGGCAGAGTGCAGTGCCGGCTCTGCCTGCCTTCCACCACTGGGCTGAGCTCCATGGTAGTGGAAAAGCCGATCAGAGCGCAGCCTGGCATCAGGTAGGCAGAGCCAGCTGCACTCCAAAATGCTCCGCCAGCCCCACGGAGCACAGCCCAGTGGTGGGAGGCAGGGAGAGCCAGAGCTGTGTTCCCCCCGTGCTGAGCCACTTGGGCTCCAGAGCCGTTAAGAGCACAAGCCTGGCTCTCCCCTGCCTCCCACCACCTGGCTGCTGCTTCAAAACCGGAAACATTTTGAAACTTTTGAAATATTTCAACTGGCCTCCTTTTGTTTCAAGGCTGTTTTGAAACCCTTCATTTTGTTTTAATTTAGCTGTTTTGAGCTTGAAATGAGTCGAAACAGCCGGCAAAGCTTTGCACAGCCCTAGTGTTAATTACTAGGGCTGTGCAAAATTCTTCTGGCTGTTTCATTTTGATGCTGTTTCGACTCATTTTGAACTTGAAACAGCGAAATCGAAATGAAGGGCTTCAAAACAGCCTCAAAGCGAAACGAGGGCGGTTGAAACGTTTCAGAACGTTTCGCGTTTTGAAGCTGGGCTTGCCTGCAGGGAAACAAAATAAGGAGAGGGTGGGGAAGGACTGCTCTGCCATTAACTGTAACTGGCCAGTGACTGGGTTGTGTAGAGGCCCCAGTGCCAGAGGGTGCGCCTTAACACACAGTCACACATGTCACAAGTTTTGCTTGTCAGCAGCCTGAGGTGCTGTTTCCCAGAAACACCTGCACCTATCTCCTTGAAACTTGGCAGGCTTCGTGGCTTCAGAAGGGGCTACCATCCCTGCAAGTTTCGTCTGAATCAGACAAGAAATGACAAAGTTATAGGTAGTTTTGTGCTTCCCCATTATAGCCTATGGGCAAAACGTCGAAACAGTGAAACAGTTTCAAGGAAACAAAACAGAACAGTGCTTTCAAAACGGAATGCAACTTGAAACAAAACATTGTCCTGGCGAAATGGACGTCAAAATGAAAGGGTGCTGTTTTGCACAGTCCTATTAATTACTATATGCAACTTTGTTTCCACCTTTACTTTAAATCTGGACTTTATGTAACTACAACCATAATGTAGCAGATTGTCAACTCGGTACCCACTTAGCACTGTGAACTAGGGCTGTGCAGAAATTAGATGGGTGTTTTCGTTTCAAAGCTGTTTTGAGCTCAAAACAGCGAAATCAAAATGAGGGTACTTGAAACGTTTCAAAATGCTTTGAGTTTCAAAGCCCGGCTTGCTTGCAGCTAAACAGAAACTAAGGGGAGGGGGGAAGGACTACTTTCATAGTGACTGTGTAGCTGGCCAGTGACTGTGATCTTTCCCTGAGGTCCCTTCCAATCCCAGTGCTCTGGGGGAGAGATGGAAAAACAGCATAAAAAGCACTGTTTGAACTGAGTTTTTGCTGTGCGTTCACACTTGCAA